CATATTCATAGATTGCTTACCAAGCTGCGCGTGCAGCAGCAGGGCCAGAGCTGTAAAATTAAGTCACATGTTATCTTTGAGCAAAACAACATTTACTGGAAAAAGTGCTCAGAATTGCCTGCTGAAAATGGATGCAATATGCTGTATATCCAAAGCCTGGAAAAAGCAATTACCCGGAGACCATGTGCAGCACATACAAGAGAGACACTGACTTACCCGTCACAAACAGTACTTTACCCATGACTACCTTGTACAAGGAGGTCATCGAACAGGTGCACTCACTTTTATATACTCTTAGTTTGCTCAGACTTGTGGGACATCTGCCAAAAATGTGTTTATTCGCAAAAGATTGTTGCAGGGTGATTATCAAATGTGCTCACGTAAGGAGTAATATGTGATTACTTATCACACTTCAAGGCATGTTCTCCACAGACACACTTTCTCCTTGTGTGAAGGACTCATTTATCCAAACTAAACATAATCCAAAGCAAACACAATGCAGAAAACGTGCCTCGGGCTTGTTTTATAAGTAACACAAAAACAACCAAAAGAATTTGTTGCAAATGTTTGTTTTGGATGTAGATACAGAATATTTTTCCAATTAAGCCTGACCTGCCAAAAGTGTAATAAATATCCTCATATTAGACAGAAAAACATTTAAATGTTTAAAGTGAATAATCTATGCATGCACGGCAAAACAGGAGGAAAGACAGATGTTTGTTGATTTGACCAAAGTGCATGAATCTGTGATATCTTATCAAATATGCCTTTCATGTCGCATGGTAAATTTACTGTCTCTGTTCAGCGGTGACATCAAACATTAGAAGTCAGCTCACATAAACAACAGGCAAAATTGCCTTTGAAAAACTACTTAGAGCGCAGATATGTGATGATAAATATGTCTGACAACTCTAATCATGCCGAAAAGAGGATCGTGATGTCACGAAGAGGGATTTGCATTAAAATCAAAAGCATTCACAAAGCAAATGGAGAACTTATCTAATCATTTTGCCTCCATTATAATGCAGCCCTCTTTATCTTTAAAGGTTTAGGTAATATTTAAAGAAAGATATGCTGGTGTCAGTGGAAAACACCTTGGCTGAGCTGAAGCCAGAGGTAATGCCATTTGCTTTTCCAACACAAGCCTATCTGCTTCTCATGGCGAGGCCCAAAAATGGAAAAAGACGTCAAACAAATGTCGAGTTGACATTCATTTACCCACTGATTTTCTTACTTTAAAGTGAAAAACAGTCCAATTTAGGTTTTAACCAAGGTCATTTCATCATATCAGGAACATTTAAGTTTTTTTCCCCCTGAGGTGCAAATCAAAGACTAATCTGTCATAAATGAAGTTAAATTTTACATCTGCTCGGTGACCTTATCAAACAGCAGCCTGAATATTCACAAACTTAAAATTAGTTTCATGAAAAGTGGCAGAGGCTATTTTGTATACACGTTTCTCTGTGGTGTAGTGGCAGCTGATGAGGTGGGTGCACAACCTGGTACATGAAGTGGGTGTACTCTCCTACATATTCCAATGTTATTTTGGCTCATAGGTGGGTATGCTCTGTACACCTGTGTATACCCTCCACTGCACCACTGATGTTTCTGTGCCATCAGCTAAAGCTATCCCATGCATGGGTTTAATGGACTCAATGAGCCGCAGTTATAAAGGTTTTGAAAAACACATTTGTGCCTGCAGGTGTCATAACCTTCATGCTGCTTACTTACTCAGCACCAGTGCATGTGTCACCATCTTAGTTCTGTTTTTTCCTATGTGGGCTGACCTTAAAGGCCGTTAGCGTCATTCCAGCTTCCTCATAAACTCAGAGAGAGAAGTTCACACCTTGTAATAAAAAGTAATGTTTCAAAATATGGTGTGTGAAGCTCGGGGTGATCGTGCTTAGAAAACACGCGTCAGTCCACCTACATGGGAACCTCTGCTCCATGACACAATCAGCTGAGATTACACAACAATAATATGTCTCACCTTGTGATGTTTGTTATGTAAATATTTCCCCAGCTATTATTCCAACATCTACATGTATATATGTATTTTTGGGAATGTCACAAGGCAGTAATTGTGATATATATTAGGGGGCAGATCTCCCTCAAGATATTGATACAAATATAAACAAACAAAAATTGCTATGCCCTTACTGCCAACCCTGCACTGCTGCCTGAAATAATTATAGCCAATTTAATCACAATCATAAATATGTGAAACAAATGGCCATTATTATTGCTCCTGAATTAAAATTATGTTCTCATGCAGTTGTGCTTGTTGTTTGTGCTTGTTGCTTGTCCAAGTGGCCTTGCTGTACACCAACAGAGGCCATTGCTCAACTGCTGTTGGTACAATCTATGTCAAACACTACACTGTCACTTGGATTTAAATGTATTAAAATGTGTATTTGGAATTTGTTTTAGTTTTTAATACGTTTTTAATTTTTTCCAGGGGTGTGAGGGCGACCCCCAGTAGATTTGGTCCCCTTCAGTGTTGAGTCCATGGCTACCACCTCGCAACACCAATTAATTTTGGACTGAAATCATTTAAATTCACACAAATTTATTAATAAAAACAGATAGAGAACAGTACATATACAATTCATAAGAAATGATGTGGATGTGAAATGGGACTCCCTGATAAACTATGGAAAGCTTGAGAACAAGGGCCCAGACATGAAGCAAACTGTATTTTAAAATGTGTTTATGAACACATGAAAACCCTGCGTTACTATAGTTTATACTGGACATTGTCACCTCCAGCCCTCTCATGCATAGTTAGACAACATAGTACAATTAACAAGGCACTCCATTTCATGACCACTCTGCACTGAGTGGCAATCAGCACCACTTATTTATACTGTATGTAATGCTCACTAGGATGCAATATTCATTGACATGTTTGCACCTATTAGTCGCCAGTATTCCAATGTTACACTTGTATGTGTGTGAGGAAGACTTAAAATGATTTGTTGGTTGATATTAAAATTACTATAACAGAGCAATTTGTTAGCTGTCACTAAGAAAAAGTAATTAATAGAGATCAAGATGACGTTAAACTTAAACATGAAAGACTACATATAGTCGACTCACGTCTGCAGGACTGAACACAAAGCAGCACAGTCAAACGCTGTGAATGTGATATGCACATGAAATACTGAAGCCTGTGGAAAAAAAAAAATCTGAGAGCATAATCTTTTATGATAATACACGGCATCAGTTACATCATTATTAAACCATTAAAAATGTACATTGGCGCAAAAGGGCAAAGAATCAAATTAGATGAACGGAAGCCTGAGGAAACACTCATACAAATGCAATGGATGTGAAGCAATGGGGCAAAAAATAATATTGTTTGTCCCACAGCAAATGATAGACAGGAAGACTGCTGTAATGCACAGTTATGAAAAACTAAAAATGCTGCAACACTTGTATTTGATATTCTTCATGTAATCTTTGTTCCCCTTCATCTCTCTTGAGAAACACTCTTGACGAAGGTCCAGAGGCATGGGCGGATTATGAGAGAATGGGACCCTGAGCCACATCACACTTCACTACAGGAGCAAAACACACAGTTGTTGTTTTGTGTCTCTTTGTAGTTCAGCATCTTTTTGTGGTTTGTGTCTCTTTGAGGTCATTTTGCGTCAGTTAAGGGTATATTTGTGTCTTTTTTGGTTGTATGATTTCTCTTTGTTACTCGTTTTGTGTATCTTTGTAGTTCCTTTTCATCCCTTTAAAGTCATTTTGTGTCTCCTTGATGTATATTTTAGTCTTTTTTGGTCATTTTGTTTCTCTTTCTGGTTCTTCTATGTCCCTTTGTAGTTCCTTTGCATGTTTTTGTTGTGGTTTTGTGTTTCTTTAAATGTCATTTTGTGTCTGTTAGGGTTTTATTTGTGTATTTCTTGGTCATTTGGTTTCTCTTTGCAGTTCTTCTGTCTTTCTTTGTAGTCATTTTGTTACACTTTCAATTCATTTTGTGTGTCTTTAAAGTATAGTTTAGTTGTTTTGTGTCTCAATTTGTTCTTTTATGTTTCTTTGTATGTCTTTGTTGTCATTTTGTGTTTCTTTGAGGTATATTTGTTGCTCTTTGTGGTCATTTTGAGTCCGTTCCAGGTTGGTACATGTTAATTTGAGTGACATTTTGCAGCTGAAAGCCAGCAGACCCCTGACACTTTGGGCCCCGGTAGGTTCCTTCAGTAGCCCATCCATGTACAGAGGAACTGAAATGTTAGGTGGGAAGGAAAACTGTGTGCTGGCATCACTGCAGGGAGACCTTACGCTCTTTCAGTTCCCCATGGACTGGCCCACACACTGGGCTTTACCTATTCACAAGAGAAGTGAAATAACCTGGGAATCTTCAAGGACATGAAGACTGCGCTGTCACTGGGTCTCATGAGTTAATATGCAAGTTACATTAATGGGGACATAAATGTGGCCACTGCAGAGTCTAGAGTCAAAACATGCTTGACGAAGGTCCAAAGGGGCCGAAACGTTAGTATGATTTATAAATTGTGATGCTGAGTAAAAGCAGTGAGCAGGATTTTCTTCTCTCAAGACTTAAGTGATAATTTTCAAAGCACCTGTATCTGAGAAAGCTGGATGTGCAGATATCTCCTTTTAAAAATGACCTTCATCTTTATAAAATAAAAAAAAGAAAATGATAGATCCCAAGATTATTGGCACTGTACTGAACTATTGTGTCCTCTGACAGTCTGGTCTTTAGTGCCACCTGCTGTTTAAGTAAGTAAACCAGCCCTACAGTCCCCAGTCTACAGTATCCCACACAGATGGACAACATACTCAGGAGAAACATTCACGTACTGTAGGATCTCAGCACAATAAAACCCATACAAACACAAGCCTACGCAAATAAACATTGCAGAAACACCATCAACCACCTAATTGCATAACCTGACCACATGGGAGAAATAAGAGGAAGTTTTTAAACGTTGCACGCTTCGCTTCTGCTTCACATTCTTGTTTCCATTCCTACAATGAGGACCTCAGGGATATCTCTTGGCTTCTTCAATGGTATAATAGCAGCTTTTTAAAAATACTGTATCTGTGTAATGGCAACTTGAAAAGAACAGTTAACTTATGTTTTTCTCAATTTGCAGCTCCAGTTTTCTGTCTCTTCTGGCTAACAAAGCATGCAGTGGACTCAGCCGAGCTGTCAGCTCCAGAGGTGGTAACAGGAGTGATAGGAGGATCTGTGACAGTCCATTGCCAGTATGACCGTCAGTTCAGAAACTACACAAAGTACTGGTGCAAAGGACAGATATATGAGCTGTGTGAAATAGTGGTGAAGACACCCAAGATGCGAAATAGTGAAAGACACTCCATTGCAGATGACAAGGAGGCAGGAGTCTTTACTGTGACTATGACTTCTCTCAGGGAGAGTGATAAAGATAAGTACTGGTGTGTCATCGCCAGACATGGAAGGAACACCCACACTGGCGTCAGGCTGCGCATCTCTGAGTCTGACACAGGTATGCTTCACGTCATCACATTGTTGTTTGTTGTTGTAGTTGCTGCTACGTTCTTAAAGCTTTTATAGAAATAACCTTCAGTCATATGTGTTGCAACTGTCACTGTATCCTGACAGTAGTACAAGAGACAGATAATCTCTGAAAAAGTCACGTTCTTCCTCCTCATAGGGCTTCTAATGGCATTTGCTAGAATCTACCACATGTGAAGGAAAGCAACCAATCAGAGCCGAGGAGTCTCAAACGCAGCTGTCAATTATCTCAATTACTGCTTGTGAACTGTGGTCAAACTGTCAAACTAGGCAGCGGTGATCAAATATGAATAAGGATTCTGTTGTCAGAAACTTATTTAAGCGTACTGTTTAGCTGTAAAATGAGAGTTTGATCTAACTGTGGGCGGTGCTTTATTTTGACTCTACTCTTTTCCATGCAGCTGCCAGGTCACAAAGTTTCTCATTTTACAGCAAAACAGTACACTAAAATATGTCTCTGAAACACTTCCGCTGAGAAATAGGCAATGTAGTAACAAAATCTCAATTCATATTTGATCAGCGCTGCCTCGTTTGACAGTTTGACTGCAATTCACAGGCAGTGATTGACAGCTGCGTTAGAGACTCCTCGGCTCTGATTGGTTGTTTGTATTCAGTCGCTGTGGATTCTTGGAAATGCCATTAGGAGCAGTGAGAGGAAGCAGAGGAACATGATTTTGATCTGTCTCATGTACCATTGTTTGTATATAGACCGTTTCAAACATGACAACATGAACATTCCAAATGGGTCCCTGTGTACTTCCTGTTGGAATGTTTTGCAGCTGACAGGAAGTAAACATGGACCCAAGCTGTTGCTTAGCAATGCTTTTCCAGTGAAACGCCCATTTCACAATGTTTACAATAACTTGCAGGTAAAGAATCTCCACATCATGTATATAGAATGAAACAATGCTGCCTCAGTTGGTTTGCTTTTAGCCATAAAAAAAAAAAGGCTCACCTAAAAAAAATCAATATAATTTTAAGTGCACGTTATATTTAGAATATTCACACCACTTTACCATGGCCTCTCTGATGGGGAACTGAAGCTGTTACCTCGAAGCCACCAGACTCCACTTACGAACACAATCATTTTAGAACACATGTCGCTGGTCTACCGCTGCCTCCATCAGTTAGTGTGAAGGTAAAGCGGTAAAAAATGTACAGCAGTGCATTGCTTAGCTTCTGTGCCAGTAGATTTGGTTTATCAAAGACACAAGTAAAACAACACAGCACATAAAATAAGCAGAGCAGAAACAGTCAACAAGTCGGACCACTGTGTTTAACTATATGTCTTTAAACGTTACAGTTATGGCAGAATATGACAACAGAATTACAAATTGCATGTATAGATTTATGTAAAATTGCAATTGTACATAAATCTACATACATTACATACATTTTACATAAATTGGAAGAATGTAAGTGTTTTCTTAAGTTACTACCTGTAGCTTTAACATGGGGTGTTTACAATAGCACTGCCTTTTTCACTGCAATATCAAACAAACAAAAATATAAATATGATTTATTCAACTCATTATATTTCTCCGCTGGGTATAAAACCATTTGAAACTTTGTTTAGGCCATCATATCAATATATTCAAATAAAAGCCTCACATAAGATTAATTCCTATTACAGTAGGGTTTGCATTCCCTTAATGGGACAGAGGGTTAAATAATTCACAAAAAACACTGAACCATTTTATGACATTATTGAAATGTGCAGTTAAATTTCATGTTCTCAAGGTGATATAGCAAGCCAAAACATATTTAGTTAGGAAATATTGGGCCCATATGGTGGTTCGTAGTATATTAATGTATGTTTCTAGGAGACAGGATTGATCAGTTGGTAAATGCCTTTAGTTGACTTTTAATGCAAAGTGCTCTTTTCTGCAGTGATAACAACAACCGCTGCCACCACAACAGCCAAAACACCTGAAGAAGATGAAGTAAGGTGAGAAGAGTCTACATGGAAAATATACTGTAATTTACATATTGTCATTCAGTGAAATATAAATAAATTATTAATATAATTGAATGAATAAATATGTGAAATTAAATGCCACTAACAAAAGTAATTCAAATCCCCAATTTTTTTCTGTTCCAACCAGTTGGTGGGCGACTCTACGTTGGATCCTCTTTATTTTAATGTTATGTTGTTTGGTGTCGACACACGTCATTGTGTGGAGGATAAAGGCTGCAGGGAAAACACAGCTGCAACATGAAGTTCAATATCAGAACACAAATATCTATGCTTGAAAGTCATGGGTGAATTATAAACTTATTCATGCATCAGCTACAAAACTATTCCTCCAGTGGAAATTCTATCAGTGTGTGAATTAAACAAAGAACCGAACCAAGTGGAAAAAGTGGCTTTCAGGCTCTTTTTCCTTTGGTATCTGAATGATTAAAACCTAATTAATTTCAGTGGCAGGGCCTGAGATAACTTTGGGTCCAAATTTAAAATATCCAATCATGTTAAAATTAGCACCTCTGGAGGAGTGAGGGTTTGGGGTTTTATTTAATTTATTTGCAGAGCTTATAAGGACCATCATAGAGGTTGATATTCTTTTAGGTTTAACCTTCAGTTTCACACATAAATGTCTTGAATGTTATAAATGTCAACTCTTGTTTTGTCCTGGATTTAAAAGACAAAGCACGGACAAATAAGGAAGTTGAACGGTGGTGATATTGTGCTCTGTTATTATACAAGGGGAAGACAAAGGGGTTTTTTGGTAAGTCTTGTGAGATACCAAACAGCTGAAATTAAGTGTTTGTCTCATTGTGCAAACTGGTGACTTCCAGTTACAACAAGAGCTAGATTACATTTAAATTCCTCAGAATATGTGATAGAGGAAGTGACAATTTGTTGGTTGATTTTGTAATGTAGTATTAATTTCAGCGCCATTGTATTGTGTTCTACAGGTTTTCATATTTTTCTGTATGTAATGAACTGTATGTATATAAATGCAAAAACACAAAGAACATGTCTGATACTCAAATCTCTTAATTTCTCTCATGTATCTCTGTTAAATCTAAATCTAACAATCGTCTTGTTAAGATACAGAAGGGCTGTGAAGACCTGTAGATGCAGTTTGGAAGAGGTGGCTTAGTTTCAGGTGAGGATGCAAGCCAAGGTGTGGGGGATTTAGGAGGTGATGTCACCACTTCTGCGGCAGGAATTCTCTGGCATGAACTCCCGTCAAGACAGCCACCATAACCAGAGACAGCTAGCTTTCAAAATAAAAGCACAAGAGGGAAACGTGAAGACTGTAAATAAATAGTGGTGGAAGAAGTACTCAGATCTTTAACTCAAGTAAACGCAGCAAAACCACTGTGTAAAAATACTGTGTAATAAGTAAAAGTCATTATGCAGAATGGCCCATTGGCCCATGCATTGATGTGTGAGCATCAGTAATGTTGCAGCTGGTAAAGCTGGGGCTAATTTCATCTACTTTATATAGTGCCAGGTAGCTTAATACATAATTATACATAATTATTTATAAGTTAATTTATATTTTGTAATAATAATTTGAACTTGTAAAGTAATCACTAACTATGTCTATAAATAGTGGAATTAACAAGTTCAATGTTGGCCCTCAAAATGCAGTGTAGTATTAAGTAGTAAATGTGCATAATAATCGTTAAATTAACATCTTCATCTATCTCTACCTGCAGTGATGGGGAGTAACTAGTTACATATAATATATATATATATATATATTATAAATGTAATTGCAATCACTTACAATTACTGAGAAAAAAATATGCAAATAAATTACAGTAACTAATCAAAGTGTTGGAGATAACAAAGGGGTTATATGTGAATATATTCTTTTCAGTAAAAAGCTCATATGTTGACTTAAACATTTATTCTTTGCATTGTTTTGCTGTGCAGGAATCTTCTTTTGGCATCTTTCAGCTTTATTGCCCTGTGTAAGGCATTAGTCAGAAAAGTAATCACATCACTTTGATGAGGTAATTACAATGGTTCAATGGTTGTTGTTTTTTTTTGTTATTTTAACAGGGTAACTAATCTGTAACCCATTACATTTCAAAAGTTACCTTCCCAACACTTAGAGTAAGATAGTGTAAGACGCCCCCCACCTCCTTAATTCCTCTGCTAACCAAACTATAGTGTTAAGACTTAGTGGCTAAGTCTACTCTCAACACAGGTATTAAATGACTTTGCTCCAGTTAAAGGTGGCATGTCATCTGAATTGCTGCACTTCAGAGATTATTCCACCAGTCACTGGAAAATAGTGACCTATATATTTATATCAAGTTGTGCATAAAATGCTTTGTCTTTATAAATTATACAAAAACTACCAACATGGGGGCATGGAGGTCTGAGGTAACACCTATAAAAGCAATGTATATACATTATGCATATTACCAAAAAAGCCATTAGGATTGTATATAATGTTGGATATATGTGAGTACACCAGCACACTGTTTTTAGAGTCACATGCATTGAAATTTGGGGACTTGGGTAATGTACAAAGCAAGAAATAATCTGCTTCTGGCCAATATTCAAAAAATGCTTTGTGACAGTGAGGGGGATATCATTTAAGAGGAAACTTAAATCTAAAAAAAGATTGTGTTCGTACAACCTTGAAAAGTATGTGCATTTCATTGTATGGGGTGGCTTTTGCGGAACGGGTTAGATGAGGAATTAAAGGGGAGCACAACTATAGAGCCCTTTTAGAAATTTAGTATTTTGAGGAGATAAGCAGATGAAGAGGGGTGATGCTGATGGGTTGGTTTATTTATTTATCTGGGCTTGATTGAGAAGGGTTTTGTATATTTATTATCCAAGGCTGCTGTTTAGTCATCTATATTAATGGCTGTAAATAAGTTTGGGCTTGTTGTTGACAATTTCCCTTTTTAAATGAGACATAAATACTGACAAGGGGGTAGGATTATATGTGTGCACTTCTCCTTTTTTATCTCAAAATAAAGTCATTTATCATTCATTCATTCATTCATTCAAATATGAAATTATGACATTTTTATAGCTTCTCTGATACCTGCCTTGTACTATGTATCTTCAGAGTTTGCAGTTTGCAACGCATACCAGACATTTTACTTTGAAGGTGATGTCCGGTGTAATTGTGTGTAGCTTGACGGTCGTAGTGGAAGTCTGGACCTGGAGGCTCCGCTTCTCTCCGACTGTAGCAAGTTGCTGATCGCTGGTGCCAACGCCCGGCGATACAGACGGCTAACGTTAGCTAGCGGAGACACGGAGGGACATTGGTACGTAACGCACACATTTCCTGACGTCTCTGCCTGCAGTTAGATAACAAATACAACTTCGGGTATTGTTCTCATGCTTCGCCTTGTTAGCTGGGACTCAGATACAGCGAGAAACCTGTGTTAGTTTACATGCTAACGTTAGCCGGCCGGTTGCTAAGCTAGCTTACCAGCTAGCATTGTTTAGTGAGTGCTAACACTGCGATAGCTTGCTGACCGATACACAAACTATTTTTCACTGTCGTTACGCGTTTATTAAAGTACACAGTGTGATATCGTGCGATTAACCTACAACCTTATTCACAAATACAAAAGTTAGCACGGTAATAAAGTGATGAAGCAAGTGAGTAGCTAATGTTAGCTTAATGTTAGGGGTGTGACACTTAACTAGTTAATGCAAGGAAGCACAGCCTTTCCTCTCAGACTCCCTTACTTAATCACAGCTGTCATTAGCAGCTGATAAGGGTGGCCACTGATGCATACAACTATTTAGGAACATTATGAACACAAGCCTAACATATTTACTGCGTTATCACCTCTCCCAGCAGCTAACGTGCCAGCAGGATCAGAAAGCACAGAGATGCAGACTATCAAATGTGTGGTGGTGGGTGATGGAGCAGTGGGAAAAACCTGCCTATTGATTTCATACACCACCAACAAATTCCCCTCTGAGTATGTACCCACGGTAAGAAAGTGATGTGTTTCAGTCAGATGCATGCTGACAAAATGACTCAGAAACTCAACATTCTCGCTACCAAACTGTGACATGCATTCATTCTTGTATAACAGGTTTTTGACAACTATGCAGTAACTGTAATGATCGGGGGTGAACCATACACCCTTGGGTTATTTGACACAGCAGGTACGTTTAATTCGACTCTTTCAATTTAACTGCATTCCTACCTGAAATGAAGTATGTTTACTAGTCTGTCACACTGTAAACTAAATTCCAGTGTGGTCTCTTCACAGGTCAGGAGGACTACGACAGGTTACGACCACTAAGCTACCCGCAGACCGATGTCTTCTTAGTGTGTTTCTCAGTTGTTTCACCTTCTTCATTTGAGAATGTTAAAGAAAAGGTGAGTAGAAAGTATCCAAATTACATCCTTTTCCGTCTAACCATCTGAAATGAAGCAAACCTCACATTTTTACCCATATAATAGTACTCTGGTCTATGTTATTAAGTGATTGGAGGATTGTAAAGCAGTATAGTAAGGAGTTTAAGTGTACAGAATGATTCAAAGGGAAATAAGAATAACAACATGTTAAATGTTTTGCATTTTTATTAATACGTTGTCGAACTACTGAAACAGAAGGAAACTGATAGAGGGGAAGGCATGTAACATTTCTGAATATACCAATTGTTAAATGGTTTATCTGATACCCTTCCTTTTAAGTAGATGCATTAAATACGGATTTTAACTCTAAATGCAACACATTGTGCTATTGAGTATTTTTCTCTCCTCGCTGCCTCAGTCATACAACACTGGAAGGAAGTCACTCAGGATCCTGTGATCACGGACAACGGCGTAATTAAAATGTAAAATATGGAAAGAAACTTGGCCAGACAAACACAAAAACCATAGACCGTGGCCTTGTGACACTGATACTAATTTTCAAACAATAGGCAGATGAATATGATTCAGCCATGCATGCTGATATGCAAAATGTTTGGAACGTATTTCCTGAGGCAGAAATATCTGGCTAATTTGTTAATGACCATCTAATAATAGGAAGTCCTCTATCATAGGCAGCCTAGGTCATGGTGGTTAGAAATTGTCTCATGGGATTACAAGAACTTTATTGCGTACATCTTCCGGTGTTGCACATACAAAGGATGTGAAAAAGGAAATGCAAACAACAATATTCCAAATGAACTGTTGACATAGGGAACTATGAATTATCTACAGATTACCTCTCTCTTCACCCAGGCTTTCTTCAGATAACTGGCTTATTTGTATGTTTCACATATGAACAGCCATCTCAGTTTTTGTGCATCAGCCATGTTTACAAAATAGGTATCTGTTTTTGTCATACTAAACAAAGCACTGCACAGTTCACAATGAAAAGGACAAGGGAAAACAAAATGGAACTTTTTTCCTACAGCGTATAGACAGCACGTTGGACAGGTTTTCCCACGTGTAATTTTTATTGAAGCATTTTCAGAATTATGAAGATAAACCTGCCAAAATAGACATCAGAGAGCAGAAAATAAACAACTTAGCATTAAGTGAACTAGTAAAGAATACAGTGAAATAAATGCAGTAATAGAAAAAAAGTGGGTGGGGTGGATGGATTATGTAAGGAATAATTACGCCACTTTAGTCCATTTCCTCTGGGGATGTCAGATGATTTGAGTCAGGTTTGGTGCAGAATTCTTCCAGAAAGGCAAAGAAGGCGTCCAGATCTTTTTACAGTCATCCAACTCGTTCTTCAGAGCAAATCTGATTCTCTCCAACAGGGGAGTATTGGAGAGGTCGATAGGTCTGCTTTTCTCCCTCTGTATTAACATACCATCCAGTTTCAGCTGTTAAAAGTAAAAAATAAAATGTCCACCTTCCTTTTTTCCTCCACCCAAAAACCACCCTTCCTCCATGTCACCTAACACCCAATATCCTCGTCTCTATCTTCAACAATCAAATTGTTTTTTTGAGCAATTCTGTCATGAGAACTGACTTCATAGCATTTTCTTGCACAACATCCTACGTGTATCTTAATCCCTAAACCGGTCTGTTTGCCTCTTGTTGACGAGTGTTCTGTCTTTGTGTTGTTTTCTGCAGTGGGTTCCTGAAATAACTCACCACTGTCCCAAGACCCCGTTCCTGTTGGTAGGCACTCAGATCGACCTGCGTGATGACCCCTCTACAGTGGAGAAGCTAGCCAAGAACAAACAGAAGCCAATCACCCCTGAGACAGCAGAAAAGCTGGCTCGAGACCTTAAGGCAGTCAAATACGTCGAGTGCTCAGCCTTAACACAGGTAAGATCTCCCGTTAAACAACCTGTAAAGCTGGTGTGGAAAGCATGTGCTGCCTAACATGGATGGACATACTTTGCCTTGTCTCTTGCTAACAGCATTTGACTAAAAAAACTCCATCTAACGCTGTGTCATGTGCCTGTCTTTCTCCCTTCTTTTCCTCTTTCTGTAGCGGGGACTGAAGAACGTATTTGACGAGGCTATCCTAGCCGCTTTAGAGCCCCCCGAAACTCAAAGAAAGAGAAAATGCTGTTTGTTCTGATGTCTTCTTGCATCTTGCTTTGCCTCTCGATCGTCTGCTGCTTACTCATTGTAAAGAGATGTCTGTCACTAAAATAACCACGATGCTCTTTTAAACTTTGTGCCCAATAACTTTTCCCCCTTCTGTTCATGCGTGCTTTTCTTTTCAACTTGGCCTAATCACAGTTACCCCTGCTGCCTGATATAACAACAGTGCCAATCTTAAGTTCTTCCTTCTTTTGTCAGCACCTCGTGTGCGAGTCTGTGAAACTGGACATGACTGCGTTTTGTTTTTGTTATTTAAATTGACATTCTGTTATTATCTCAGTATTGAGCTCTTCAGCATCAGTTGTACCCTACAAAGCATTTATGCCTCAGACAGCGATAACCTTTTTTTCTACTGCAGCATCAAAATTTTCCACGAGCTTTTGTCTTGACTCAGATGACTTGATCATGAAGGAGTCTTGTATAATGTTATTTGAATAAAGGAGAATTTTGATCGCCCTGCTCCATTTCTACTCAGCCTTCTTTTGCAATTAGTTCCCTGCAGATGTTAATTTGTATTTGGAACACAGCCCTGTTTTGAATATTAATATTTTATTTCCACAGAAAGGATTAAAGAATGTGTTTGATGAGGCAATACTGGCTGCCCTGGAGCCTCCTGAACCTAAGAAAAGACGTAAATGCGTTCTGCTCTAAGTTTCGTCGCAGCCTTCTCCACACCAGTTTCCAAATCTAGGTTAGCAGTACTGAGAAGAGGTTTGTTGCACAAGCACATTCCAGCGTGTGTTGAGATATTATGAAATGTTTGCATTCTGACTGACTTTAACCTAAATACATATTCAATGTGTTGAACGTGACTTTACGATTAACATTTGATGCTGTTTGAGATGATTCGATGCCATTGAAAAGGTCTCGCATAATGTGAACACAGAACTTTGATCACATTATGAGTTCATTTTACAGAAGTGCTATTCCAGAAGAGATGATTATGAAATGGTAATTTAATAGAATTCCTGTTTTATTGATTACCCTGCTAAACACAAACAAGCCGATAATGTTGGTTAGTGAGTTGCTTCACTTATGTCTTAGTTTATCCTACTTTTTTTATTTACTTTTCAAGTACGTCCCTTACAGTTGTTCGTTTATACAATATGTTCAACTCTCGTGTAAGACTGCATGTGGATGAAACTGAATCGTCATAGAACTCATGTTATTTTCCAGACATTTATAGAGCGACACACTTCTCAAAGGGTTATAAAAGTTGGTGTATTTTACTCCTTTTTTTTTTTTTTTTTTTTTTTTTTTTACATAATTTCATGTTCAATGTCAACACAGCCTCCGGGCGGATCTAAGAAATATTTGACGAAATATGACATATCTAGGCTAGGCTCGATCGTACCTCTAGTTTGCCAAAACATAACCTGATAAATTGACACGTGTCAAAGTAGAGATCCGCAGGAGCTGACAAAGAAATAGGAAATGTATGGAGTTTTAAATTTAATGTTAATGCTCCATCGGAAGTCACAGCCACTATTAATTAACATGCAAGGAGCACAACCGTTTCCCAGTCATTTATTTTTTTTGTGATAGATGTGAGTTAACAAGAAGGTGATGTGTGTCCTGAGTGCTTCTCAAAAGTTGCAGTAAGCCGAACTTTGGAGGAGCAATTCCGCCTATAACCCCAGGCTAATGAACTATTTTGTAAAACCGAACATACTCGCTGCTGAAGTCAGATAGTAACACGTTGTGACAGTTCTTAAAAAATGCTATACATAGTCTGAAACCCTGTGAAGATTTTTGAGTGATTGAACTAGCACTATTTGCATTTGTCTTTTGCTATAACCATGCCTGGATGATGGGCTTGAATTTGATCTGTAAATATAGTGAGTGTAACTCATAACTTATTGACTGAATACAATGTGTGGATTACTTATCCAGAGATTTAGAGGAGCTGAGGCGACACTGAAATCAAAACAACCAGGACGATGTTGAGAGAATGAGTTTCTTGGACTCTTTGGTTTTTATTCAAATTGACATTAAAGTTGTACTGTATCTTGCTTGTGATAAAGCATCACAATAAACCAGTATTATGAATAAACCTAACTTCAAATACTACATGTTGTTGTCTGGCTTCATGGTTACACAAATAAAGCTTATGAACTTGTATAAATTTTCCACAGATGATGTAGTGTATTACAAAATTTCAACATCACAATGTACACATTAAAGAGCAGTACAAAAAAAAGTTTCCTTTAAGGCTTGTTATATAGCAGTACTGCAGTGTCACAATAGCATGTATCGACAAAATCTCTTAAAAACAGAGAGACAAACTTCCTGACACTTTTTCTTGCCATCACTCTGCACTCACTGATGCGTTCATATAACTGTTCTCACCCCACCTCTCAGTGAATATAACCGAGAAGCAAACAAACATGAGTGCCAGATAGTTCACCCTGTTCTGTAAAGCTGCCTTGGTACTGTATATGGCATCTTGTCCTAAAATTTCCACAAGAAGATGGCGTACAAAAAACACCCAACAGAAAACGATTAAACTCAGACTTACGTGTACATTCATTTAAAGTAAGGAATGTTGTAAATCTACTGTTTTCTGAAAGTGCTTGTGATATGGCTCTTTTCAAAGGTACAAACTGCTGTGGTCTCAGGAATCATGATTATAGATGTATAAAAACATAACACCGGACTCTAAGATGGCACCTGTCCAGTTCTATGGAACTGCTCATATGCCTAATTTATCCTCTATGGATCAAAAATGAATAATAGAAAGAGTCATAATTGAACTTGTTAGCAGTTCGAGGTATCCTGTCAACAGTTTTACAGGCATTTCTTTTGCAAAGTCAGTCCATGGGGGAAATTCTTTGTGAGCTGCAGGGGATTTTTTTTTTCTGCAATACCACAACGGCCACTGGGAAAAATTGAAAGTAAGGCTGAGCTGCGTTTCTGAGGGGCCAGGCCATAATGAGGTTTCGGTATTCAAACAGCTAACCTCACTGCAAAGACATGAGGCTCTCCTGGAAACATGGGGAAATACCCACAGACATCATTTTTGAAATAATCAACAGATGCCATGCAGGGTAATAATAATATTTAATTTAAGGCTCTAGTTTGTAGGATTTAGTGGCATCTATCTCTGAGGTTGCAGAAGTGAAATTTCTCCTGTGTGCGTAGAATGTGTAGGAGAACTATGGTGGCTGACACATAGACGCAAATTTGTCCATTCTGGGCTACTGTACAACAACATGGAGGGCCCTCTCCATATGTAGATACATGGTTTACTGTAAGGTAACAAAAACATACTGAGTCCTACTTTCAGGTGATTATAAACTATTGAAAATAGTTATGAATATTATATTCCATTTCTGCCAATACATGCCCCTACATCCTACACACTGGACCTTTGAGTAAAATAAATGATATTATTTTTAATTTTTTACCCAAAGAAACTTTCCTTCAACATGTAAAATGGCTGCAGGTTATACAAGGAAAATAAGACAAGGTGCAACTTTGCAATTTCAGGCGATGGCAGGAAGCAGGCGTTAAATGAATCCCGCAGAACTATGTGTCCATTGCTGGACATATCTCAACGCAGCTGTCAGTAACACGAATTCCGTACCATCCTGCCCAGTACTGTGTGTCTTTGCCTCCGTGGGTAAAACGGATGTATCTCACTCCTGGTCCATAGTTCCGGAATACATGGGTCATCTGAAAAATACACATCAGTAAATCTAGAGTTGTCCTTGAGCTTTGTGCCTCCTCCGAACCTCACTGTGCTAATTAATGCGTCATGCTTTTGTACATACCTGATTCCATTTCTGATCGTTCCACTGCTGAAAGTAAACCGTCTCAGGAGCAAACTTCTGAACGGGTTGCTTTCTTTGATTTAGCAACTCTACATGGATCTCATATTGACTGCCACAATCCCATCGTGGCGCATACCTGATTAAACACAGACGCAAAAGCATGTGCACACAGATCAGGGGTCAGCAATTAGATTCAATCATTGTCCAGTTTTTTTCAGCACTATTCATTGGCGGACTGAATTACAGCTTTGTATATGTTCATTTCTTTTAGTAACAGCAGCTTATGTTAATCCTTGTTTGGCAAAAATGACTCAGCTCAAGGCATCGACCTGGCCACAAAATTCCTAAGTAAGGATACATGGGATGTTCCAGTACCCCAGAGGTATTCCGATCCACTCTGGGGCTTCTTTGGAACAGACTTGGCTCTGAGGCATGGACACCCCCGAGAGGTCGTGTGGTGTCTGGCAACAGGACATTGGCAGTGGACCTTTTCAGTCCTGTGGGTTGCCAGGTGGCATACTGGCACGTCCCTGTATTGGTATCTGGGGAATTTGGTGGCCAGGTCAACGTGTTGAGTCATGTTCCTCTGGCCATTCCTGAGCAGTTTTTGCAGTGTGGCATGGGGCACTGTCCTGCTGGGAGAGCCCACTGCCATCAGGGAGTGGCGTTACAATAGGGATGTGTATTTCAACTGCAGCAGTGTTTGGATGGGTTGCATGTGTCAAGTGCCATGACCCAAGTTTTGCCAGCAGCACATTGCATTGTAACGAGATGATCAATGTTATTCACTTCACCTGTCAGTGGATTCCATGTTTTGGCTGATCAGTGTATGTTCTGTGTTGCACTATGCGACGACTAAATATGTTTATTTTGAGAGTAAAATCAAATAATGACTCAGTACACAGAACAAAGAAGAAAGACTAGAGATGTAACTGATCCACACTTTGACAAACTGTTGGGGGTCATGGGGGGCTGGAGCCTATCCCAGCTGACCCTGGACAGGTCACCAGACTATCACAGGGCTGACTCACAGAGACAGACAATGGGCAATTTAGAGTCACCAATTAACCTGCATGTCTTTGGACTGTGGGAGGAAGCTGGAGTACCCGGAGAAAACCCACGCTGATGCGGAGCAGGAACCCTCTTGCTGTGAGGTGACAATGCTAACCACTGCAACACTGTGCAGCCACTAAATGCTCCTTTAATTTGATATTATTTAGGCATGGATTATGATAGATAGAGATAGATTTTTTTTCAAGGTTTGTAAATTAAATTTTGATTAATCTATTTGGAACATTTTTTTTAAATTTAGTACTTAATATTTTTGTTACTAATATGGTTTTTAGCAGCAAAATAACTGACTATCAAATCCTGATTGTGTTTGTAACTGATTCAATCTGCCATCAATTTAAGAATTATTAATATTATTATTATTGTTGTTGTTAAATTGTGAGAGTATTTCATGTGTGTTCCTCTCACCAATCAGATATTTTGATGTCTGGCTGGAAGTCATCCATGAAAGATGGGTTGTACCCTTCCAGCTCCAAATTAATCAACTGAGACTTCCTGCACATCCTACAGAAAAAAAAACCAGACAAGGCTCTAGCTTCTATATGATAAAAATATAGCGTATCATATAATTGCTGTATGTTTTCTGGATCACTGCTGGTGAATACTCACATGTAGGAAGTCACAAAGTTTTTCTTGACCATCTCATTTGGATGCGGCTCCATGACTTCTTCTACATTCCAATCATTACCATCATTCTCCATCTGCCAGTTCTTCATTTTATCTGTGAAAACAAAGACTGGGGTTGTGAGATCGGTTATTTTGTAGAACTAATTTGTTGCTCAGTAGGAAAATAATGGACTTAAAGGAAAGCTTCACTCACAAAATGATCATTTGTATATCAAATACTCAACCTGTGTTACGTTTAATATTGTGGAGAAAAATTGATTTTCTCGCACGCCTTCATGGTAAATAAAGAATCAAAAAATGGAGGAGTTTTTTTTGATGAATTAAAGCGAAAAGGGGGCTGCATCTTAACAACCACAAAAATATATCAAAACATCAGTTAACAAATTCTCACACAACTCATGCAGTATTATTCATTCTCTAAAATCTTACAATTTAAAACCCTTACACATATAAGCATTTGAACTCTGCTCAGGTATTCCACTGAGCAGAGTTCAAATCCATATGCTTGTCCAGGCGCCCTACACATTTGCACGAGACTGTTTTAAATTGTAAGGTTTTAGCGAAAATGCATGTGTTTGGGAAGTGCTGAGCATACGACTGGATTAGTGAGACTTTAATTATACTGCACAAGTTGAGTGAGAGTTTGTAAACGGATGATATAGTACCATTTTGCTGTTAAATTAAATTCATGAAGAACTTTCACCATTTTTGGATATTTTGTTCACCGTAGAGGCATGCAAAAAAATCCCCAACGTTTTCTTCATGAATACAATGAACCCAGGGTGAGTAAGGCCCTGATCACGCAGAAAGCATTTTAGCAGCTGGATGCGGCTTTTTGCAATAGTTTTTAATGAAAATGAAGCTTTTTGCTTGCTGGTTTTATATTCCTACATGCCTGACATTTTTGCCAGAGCACTCTGAACTCCTCGAGTTGAAAAAAAAAATTTCAACTCAGAGAGGAAAAGTGTCTCACACCATCTCCACTTCTTTTCCATTGTTCAATTGGACGATTTAAGAGGTGGGCCTTGTGTGGTGGTCACGAAAACAAGTTTACAGTTGGTAAACAATGGAGGAGAAACTGGTGGTAGCAGTTTTTGGATACCCAAAGCTATACAACTTTACAAACTGCAGTTAAAACAGCAGGCGTGGAAGCATATTTAAGTACCTGAAATGGCTATAATTGAGGCGAAGCTCCTGAACGAACTGGTGTAGCTCCCCGTGATCCACCCTCTTTTTTGGGGTCTCATGTACCCACACAGATCTCCCTTTCTGTGCCCAACAAACTATTTGCTGACAACCTCTCGCCCTCTGCCTGCCTCAACATTTTCAATGATCGAGGCCTTACTGATGTACAATGATAATTTTGTAGGTAACGTATTCCTTTAACACACGTAAAGTTAGTCCTGTGGCTTCTTACGTTCTGCCCTTGGGTTCTTGAGAAGATTTCTTCTCTTCTTGCACAAGAAGTAAAACAACCTCCAGTCTTTGGGTATTCTGGAGGCATTGCGGAGGCGATATCCTTCTCTTCTGCATCTCTCTCTCCACAGGGACTCACTGTCAGCCACTTCTTTCCACTGATGGCACACTAACCGACAAACACGAACCACCTGATGGGGAGGAAGACTCAGGAAGATCTCCTCCAGGATCTCCAGGGGAACATCGAACAGCTGGAAAGAAAATAGACAGGACACAGATAAGATCAAACCCTGGATAATCTGAAGTTTTCAAGCTTTGGACCAACGAACCTCTCACTGCTTACATAATCACACTTACACAACTAACAAAAGGTGTGTGTGTAAAGGTGAAATGCTTAACATCTTGTAAAACAGAAAATGAAAGAAGCAAGGTAACATTGTATCATGGATAATGTCCATGATCGTCCTTTAAAATCACAAAGGTTGACTTTTTTTAGTGGCATGTCTCAGAGAAAAAGTTAGTTGTTCCATGACATAAATTTCCATAACTATTTTGATCCACTCAGAGGTTGTTTGAGACTCTTCACTTTGCCATTTCCTGGTTATTGCTTTTTTTACAATGGGCTAGTGGTATTTGTAATAAATATATTTCCTGCTTTGTTAGCCCAGTTGGCACATTTCCCAAATACATTACACTGAAGCTAAAATCCAGTTCTGAACTCATTGTTGATCTGATCTGCCCAGTAAGAAGGAATGTTAGGACACTCCCACTCCCAAAGATATGGAAACTACCAGCAGACATGTTACCACACATTCTCCAACACTGACCATGTTCAGCAAAAAATCTAGAATTAAATAAATGCTTTAAAAAAACACATAAAGCTGATGAAAAATACTCATTTTTGGTTTATTTTTAACCCATCTACCAAAATGAAGCCAAAAATAAAAGCCTCAAAACTCTGACAGGACCATAGTCAGTTTATAAGATCAATAGTATATTACTAAACAGCTTGCTAGTTTATGCCAGATTTTAATACAGTGGTTGAAAATTATAAAACAGCGCACCCTATGCTTGTGTCTTATACACACTGCATGGCCTGCCTGCTCTCAAAATTTCACTAGCCGAGTTCAAACTTGTAACCAAAGGTCACTTGATATAGACTGTTTCCATTCTCTGCAGTCATGTGAAGCTCTTCCAGCAATTAGTCAGAGTCGGAAATCATGAGAAACACTTACATTTTCCTGTGACTGTCCTGCAGCTGAAGACACATTCCGACTTGAGGTTGAACCATAGCTGAGAGTTGCACCCATGCCTTTAGCTTTCCTCTTCATGCCTGGGACAGACCCAGGCTACTGATGTGTTCTCAAGGTGATACAGCCAGATATACCCAACCCCTGTCGACCCCTTGGTAAAGATACACCTGTGTGTGTGTAATGGTTTATATAGCTACACTATCACGTATCTGGCTGTTATTTATATCGGACAGCACACAACACGGAAGTGCAGCTCTAAGTAAAAACACTCGTGATATAGAAAGTGAAGTAAAAGCAGCTTCAACGTTTCCAGTAACTCTAAATTTAAGAGGTGACAGTCACTTTCGGTTACCCTGTGTCATGCGAATCCCCCAAAAGACGTTACTATTCCCAGCGTTTGGCGGAGGCAGCGCTCGTTATTTACCCAAGCATACTTAAGTTACACGTCAGATGCGGAGGCGACATTAAACACAAAAATAAATCAGCAAAAAAGCCCTGTTCGACAGCTGAACGTCGTAGCTCGCAATATTGGAGAGCTAAGTTTTACGTTAGTACTCCACACACCAACAGGGAAGCTGAGGAGCGTCAGTTCTGCTGCTAACTCCGCCCACCTCCGTGAATTTCTGTGCACGCCGGGTAGAATACATAGCGACTCCTGTAGAATCCCTTCTTTAAGAAAACTTCCGGTATGTGTCATCTCTGTGGGCGAGGCCAGAGCAGCCCCTGAATTAAAGCTGAGCATCAACTCAAGATACACATGTAGTTATTAAAGATTATAACCCGCAAAATAAGACATGTAATTACAAGTTTATTAATACTGTGTTGAAATCTAGGCTGTTTATTACACGTCCCAGGGTCATTGATCTTATCTATTATAAATAAAGCATATTCTTTGTTTATTAGGTGGCCTGTTCCCCCCAAAATTGAAGAAACTAATTTTAAGGTAATTCATACGATTTATCCAACAGCTGTGTTTCTTAAGAAAATGTTTATATTCGAGGTCGCCCCTGTGCCTTCTGGGGTGAGAATGAAGGAACCTTGGAGCGCACGTTTTTTTAATTTAATTACTTTTAATTTTATTTTGTTTTATTTTATTTTATTTTAGTAAAGTTCAGTTTCATTTTTTTCTTTATTTCTTTACTTATTTGTCAGTCTGACATGAAAAATTGGTTATCACTGAAGTTTTATGATGTTTCCAATATTTGATAATTCTTACTTTTTTTTCATATGGATAATTTGAAATCAAATGGGCATATACTATATTTATTGAAGCAAGTTTAGGAATAATCAGTCCTCTTTTAACTGGTTTTTAAATGACTTTATTGAACTGTGGTGAGTGTTGATTTTTTTCTCAATTCTTGTTTTGAGTTATGGTCCTTGTTTTGGATCTCAACGTTTTGCTCCACTTTGTCATTTTTGTACGTCTGGTGTTTTAATCTATTAACTTGCTTTTTTATAATTCTTATTTATATATATATATATATATAAAAATCTCCCCTTGTCTATTTTATTTTATTTATTTCTCTTCATCTCCATCAAGGTTGACTATTATTTTGCTCAGTATTTGTATAGAATGGTACATCCTTTATGAGATGTTCTATATTTATGCTTTTGTTTGTATGCTCTCAAAATGCTCAATTAAAAAAAATCAACTGAAGATATAACAATAACAATAATAATAATAATAATGATATTGATTTTTCTATTAAATGTGAGGATGATAGGACAGAGTTTAGGAGGAGAGGATGGTGCGAATCAATTTAAATTTGAATGTTACAGGAAATGTACGAAACATTTAGACTCCATTAAAAGTAGTCAATCATAAATGTAGTTACTGTAAATTGAAATATACGTGTAAGGTCACATAACATCACTGATTAAAATCAAATGTGTGCGTTTATGAGCTGTAATTAAATAAGAGTTATAAGTTATCTCAGAGTTTTGATGTTTTTTCAGTTTGACACCAACATTGTTCTGTATTTCATTTGTGCTAAAGCTAAAACAATAATCCAGCAGTAAGATAAATGTTAAGACTAATTTTAAATACAGTAAACTGACTGAATTAGTTACATAAATGAAGTTAGTAAAGTACTGTTTATAGTTCCAGAGCAGACATGGGACTGATGAATGTAAAAGATAAAGGATTTTGATTAGAACAGAAAACAGTTGTGCATTACACCTCATACATTACTGAACAATACAAAGCAGCAATGTGAAGGAAATTTGCATGAAGTAAATAAGTAAAGTTTATTTAATGTAGCAAATTTGACAGATCAATATGAAAGTGCTTTACAGGGATAAACAGGTCATAAAAACAGTAAAAAAAAATCAGTCAAAAGAAACAATAAAACATAAGCAACATCAGAAGTTGAACACAACAGACTGTTTATTTTTTGGTGACAACGTAATACTGAGAAGATACATTTTATTTGCGATGTGGTCAAGTTGCTGCACTTCACTGTTCCACTGATGCCTTCATGCGACTTACAATGTGTTACCATCACACCACCTTTCATTTGGGACGACCCAAAGGCAAAAATTGCACAGAGCATTCTGCAAAGCTTAATACAGCAAACTGTCCTAACAAATTTCATGACCGGCTGTCAGGCAACAATACTTCAGGGTAAATAACCAAATGATTTAGGCTTGAATGTAAATTTCTTCATGAGAAATACAGGTTTTTAAAATTGGACGGATATGTGCTGACTGTGGCAGCAATGTCCTGGCTGCAAAAATATTGGTATGAGGCTCTCTTGGGAAGGTGATGTGGATAATTACCCTTCAGTACTGCTGCACCTCTTGTAGCACCAAGTGTGTGTGTGTGCTCTGCTACTGTAAATGCACAGAGTGTATTCATAATTTTGCAGATGGAGAACAGCTGGAAAAAGACACAGACTTACAGCCATTCGCAGCATTGACCTTCGAGTGACCTAATACTCTGACATATAGACAGACATTGTCTTTATTAAACCAGCTACAGCTACATTGTTCTCATGGAACAGGTGTGAAGCATAATACAAGTTAGGGGGTACTGTCTGCTGGCTCATCAGCCAAACATCACCCAGTGCATCAAAGATGGAGCCACAGCATCAAAGACGCAGCTGCAGACTATGTGCGTAGGTAGACAGGGATATTGTCACTCATGTCACAGTGACCTCACCACAGTATATGTATAAAAAAGCTACAGGAATAAGGAGAAATTGTGATCTCAGCCTGGAAACTCTGTCGATGGTTTGACTGTGCTCGCTTGCAAGTGTAATAATAAAAACTCAAAAAGACAGTCTTTGGTTTTGAACCACAGAGAAGCATTCTTTGTACATGGTAAATAAATGCAGATTATACACGGCAAATATGACTGGAACAGGTGCAATTTCAGGTAAAGGCAGGAAGCAGGCATTTAATAAATCCCTATGTGTCCATTGCTGGACATATCTCAACACAGCTGTCAGTGAGGCGTATACCATACCATCCCTTCCAGTACTGTGTGTCTTTGCCTCCGTGGGTAAAACGGATGTATCTCACTCCTGGTCCATAATTCTGGAATACATGGGTCATCTGAAAAACACATATCGATAAGTATAGGCTTGTCCCGGGGCTTCGTTTCTCCTCTAAACATCATTGAAATAATGAATGTCTCGTGCTCTGTTCATACCTGATTCCATCTCTCCACACTCCACTGCTCAAACTTTATAGTCTCAGGTGCAAACGTCTGGACAGGCTTTTTTCTTTGATTCAGCAGCTCGACACGGATCTCATATATACAGCCACAATCACTTCTTGGTGAATACCTGGTATAACAGATACACAGATGTCAGATTTCAGTGATTACATATACAGTGTTGAATGTAGCATTGGTTTCATGTTTTAGATGCTATTTTGAAAAAAATAATTGGAAACATTTCTTTTAAAAAAACTCATAGGGTTTGTTATGAGTCTGGTGATGATTTAGTCTCTCCAATAATTTGGAGCTTCTGGTCCGCTGTTGGCTTCATCACACCGTGACCTCCAGCATGCACTGGGGCGGTGTGCAGCAGAGTGTGAAGCTGTTGGGATGAGAGTCAGCACCTCCAAATCTGAGGCCATGGTTCTCTGTCAGAAACCAGTGGATTGCCCACTCCAGGTTGGGGGAGAGTTATTGCCTCAAGCGAGGGAGTTCAAGTATCTCGGGGTCTTGTTCACAAGTGAGGGTAGAATGGAGCTTGAGATAGATCGGCAGTTTGGTGCGGGTTCTGCTGTGATGCAGGCGCTGCACCAGACCGTCATGATGAAGACGGAGGTGAACCGGAAGGGGAAGCTTTAGATTTACTGGTCCATCTACATCCCAACCCTCACCTATGGTAATGAGCTCTGGGTAGTGATCGAAAGAATGAGGTCGTGGATGCAAGCGGCAGAAATGAGTTTCCTTCGTGAGGTGGCTGGGCTCAGCCTTAGAGATAGGGCAAGGAGCTCAGACATCCAGAAGGAGCTCGGAGTAGAGCCTCTGCTCCTTCGCATCGAAAGGGGTCAGTTGAGGTGGTTCAGGCATCTGATCAGGATGCCTCCTGGGTGCCTCCTGCTGGAGGTGGTCCAGGCATGTCCAACTGGTAGGAGGGCCTGGGGCAGACCCACAACACACTGGAGGGATTACATATCTCATCTGGCCTGGGAATGCCTTGGGGTCCCCCAGGAGGAGCTGGAAAGCGTTGCGGTGGAGGGGGACGTCAGGGGTGCTTTGCTTGGCCTGCTGCCCCCACGACCTGGCCCTGGATAAGCGCATGAAAATGGACGGACGGACGATGTAGCCAGCGGATATCTGGGCCAAGACTTCCTCTTCTCTGCACTGTCATTGTTAACTAATGTCTATAAACAGATATCTCCATATGAATAATTAGAATATATAATAACATTTCAAGTGAAGACTAAATTCAAAGAAGAAGCATTTCAGCCCTCTTTTGTGCAGTGTATCTGCTTATTTACTATCAATCTGATGTTTCCTGCCACCACCTGCACCAAGTTATGAGGACTGACATCATTATTTCAGTTCTGTTTCTGCTGTTAAGTTTGTAACTACAGCTTTTTAGTTGTGCTGCTTAAATGTCCCACGATCTTTGCAGAAAAATGCTCACTTCTCCAATTTGCTAAATCCACCATATAAATAGTAATACTGGGCAGCACGGTGGTGAAGTGGTTAGCATTGGTTCCTGGTTTGAGCCCGGGTGGAGTGCAGTGTTTGTACTGTTTCACTTGATGTTAATTTTTCTTACCAATCCGATATTCTGATGTCTGGCTGGAAATAATCCATAAATGATGGGTTGTAACCTTCCTTCTCCAGATCGATCAGCTGAGACTTCCTGCACATCCTGGAGAACAGAAATTGTCTCAGCTGCTACATAATATGGAAATACAAAATAAAATTAATGCCATATTTTCTGCATCTCCCCAGGTGAATACTCACCAGAAAGAGGTCACAAAGTTCTTCTGGACCGTCTCGTCTGGATGAGGCACTCTAAGATCGTGCAGAGCCCATTTATCACCACCATTCTCTAAAATCTGCCAGCCGCTCAGGTCCTCTGTACAAACAAAAGGAGGGTTGTGACAGAAATAATGTTGTCGTGCTAATTTGTACATCAGGAAAACAACGGCCTTGTTGTGTGCAGTCACTCCCGTGGCTTCTTACGTTCTCCTCTTGGATTCTTGAGAAGATTTCTCCTCTTCTTGCACAAGAAGTAAAACAATCTCCAGTCTTTGGCTATTTTGGAGGCATCGCGGAGGCGATATCCTTCTCTTCTGCATCTTTCTTTCCACAGGGACTCACTGTCAGCCACTTCTTTCCACTGATGGCACACTAACCGACAAACATGTACCACCTGATGGGGAGGAAGACTCAGGAAGATCTCCTCAAAGATCTCCAGAGGAACGGGGAACATCTGAAAGCAAGAAAAAGGACACAGAGAAGATCAAACCCTGTGCAATGTGTTTCGTTTTCCAGTACCTTCTTTGGAAAAATGCCCACTACTGCTTACATATCCATATAAACTACAAGTCTATCCTTACTACTATTGAACAGGCACGTTTAAAACAAAGGGTAGGTAACACATAGTTTTTAAAAAACATAAGCTGATTTCATTGCTCTAAGGCATCTATATACATTGATGTATTTAAAGTGGGACTTCTCACTAGTAAGAAGAAAAAAGTTCATGATCAACCAGCTAAAAGAGTAAAAATATTTATGATGGCCAAGTTGCACGGTTTACAGGTGACAAATAGTGCACACAATGATCCCATGCAACATGCAGTCCAGTTGCATTCAAAGGAAAGTCAAATATGAGCTTTTTCTCAGCCGCTTTATGTTGGGCGTCTCCGTAGCCACAAGTCCAACAAAGAGGCAATAAAAAGCGTCTTTCCTCAGGCCATCAGGATTGTGAACAGTGCGCCCTGACTGCTGTGTATCCTCCTCACATTGTCCTCTGTGAACCATTTGCATTGCCCTGCACATTTGCATCCTCCTGCATGGACAAAACTACCTACAGTCTGCCTAGCAATTGTGACACATGCACATTAAACATTTCCATTCTCTATATCCATGTGTAATCGAACCAAATCTTCTTAGTTCAGAATTGTACACCGCACATATATATGACCTGCTCTCAAAGATAAAATGGATGCTAATATTCCTTCTCTCTGCTGTACGTGTAACTACAGTCACTGTTTTGGCTATGTGTGAAGCTGCAAAGCCGTTGGTCTGGTATTGTAAATGAACTGTCTGTTATATTTGGTGTTCAAATAGAATTGGGCCCTATGTGCCTCTTACTTGGATTCCTGGATGGTCATATTACAAATATCAAACACTAGAGACTTTTCAATCTTTTGACTTTTGCTGCCAGGAAAAATATTCTGCTCTTCTGGACTGAGGATGCTGCTCCAACAAAACAAGTCTTGGCACAATCTTGTAATGCAGTATGCTCCCAATGAATATATCTCTTGTATGCTATTCATAAAGTTTGGGGCCCTTATTTAAGGTACATTGGACCTACACTGTCATCTTCTACATTAAAGGGGATTCCTAAACCGGCTTAGCCAGTCTCTGGACACTTCCTGTAAACTAGCCCTCTTGTAACCTTGTTATTTGTCTGTATAGACTATTTGTTTGTTTGTTGCTGTTCTCATTTTCTTATTTTCAACTACTCCCTCTATTTGCCATGTTATGTCCAAGCTGTTCTGTGTTTGATGTTAAAAATGCAATAAATATAGTCCTAAAAAATCCATTTACTGAATACATGCACACCAAAACACCAGGCTGGTATACACTAATATCATGTGCATTTCCATTAACTTTATTTATTCTTGCACTATAATCTTGCAGCACAGCCTTAAGTGTAGACTATGCCATCCTGTATTTCACTTTACATTTCTCAGACTGGCTGTAATCTCCATACAGCCTGCAGTCATGTGCAACCCTTGCATTAGTTGTTTTAACAGTGGAGCACTTAACACCTACCGTTAGGAGCGAAGTACGCGGTGCTGTAGCTGCAGTTGGTGGCTGCTTCGGACTCAGACCTCGACTTTCATTCATAAGTTTCCTCTTTACGCTCAGGACACCGCCGGGCCACAGCCTTTATGCCACTATACGTAGCCTATATCAGTGTTTTGGTTTCTCGGCCTCCTCCTGTCAGCTGTTACTGCTCTGTTAAGTGCGCAAACGTCACAGAACACGGAAGTGCATTTCGGAGTAACGTTACAGACACCGACACTGCGAGGAGGGCTGTAGCATCTCAGTCAAAGTTTAGGAAATTACCTCTTATTCTCTCGTTGAATGAATAAAACACTTATAGAGATGTAGAGCACATATGGCCACTCCTGTCAGTTTGTCAAGGGTGCGCTCGTTCTTTACTCCGGGGCGGCTGGACGTAAGAAGCGTGGGCGGAGAAAGTGTGGGATCACATGCTCCACAACAAGCGGATATTTTAAAACTTTAATCTATGACTTTAATGCGTTTACTCAGTGACACGTCTGCAGCTGAAAGAGGGTTGAGTGATGATTTGTAATTTTGCACACAGCTGCTTAAATCTGTCATATGCTATTAAAATAATGTCAAAAGCCTACATCACCATCACCAGGGCAGGGGCGTAAATATAGACAGTGCAGGCAGTTGCACTGGAGTCCGTGAGGTGAAGGGGCCTGATTCATTCATTCATTTTCTGTAACTGCTTATCTTGTTGGGGGGCTGGAGCCTATCCCAGCTGACATTGGGCGAGAGGCAGGGTATACCCTGGACAGGTCACCAGACTATCATAGGGCTGACACATAGAGACAGACAACCATTCACACTCACATTCACACCTACAGGCAATTTAGAGTCACCAGTTAACCTGCATGTCTTTGGACTGTGGGAGGAAGCTGGAGTACCCGAAGAAAAAAAAAAAAACTCTCACACATGCAGAACATGCAAACTCTGCACAGAAGGGCTCACCCACCCTGGAGCTCAAACTTCCCAATCTATCAACAATCTTTAACAAATTACATGCTTATTATCCATAAACTATAAAAAAAAAAAAAAAATAAAAAACTATTTAATAAACTAATATTTTCCTTTTTTTTTTAATACAGATATGTAATGATGACTGCTGGGTAAAATGTATTTTGATGTTGTCCAATATCGTGTCTCTGTTAAATCATGCGATGAGACGAAATGATTTGCAGTAACTAGTTTAGGTGCAAAATCTCTGACAAGAGATGACAAGCTGGACACATCTGCAAGTGTATATAACGTGTGTGTGTGTGTGTGTGTGTGTGTTTCATAACTAGTAACTAGGGTGCACCAGGGCCCATCACAATAGCATGCACTGTTGTAACTTGTATCTCCAGCTGTCAGTGCCATGTGTTCCTCATCAATAGCCTCCAAACAACATTGTTTAATTATTTTTGATTATCTGGTTTGATGATTGATTGATTGATTGATTGATTGATTCCAGTTGTCTGAAAAAACTTCAAACATGAGCGTAATGATCAAAGGTTGTAAATAACAAACAGAAGAACTGTGAAGAACAAAAAAAGACTTAGATAAATTGAATAAATAATGTGTCCACTCAAGAAGCACAGAGACCTCTTTAGACAGATATCTAGATTAACCTGATAAAGACACTCATGGGTGGATTATGAGACAATGGACCCCACCACCTCTCCTTCATAGGAGCAAGGCACACAGACTTTATGGTTGTTCAGCCTGTTTTTGTTGTTGTCTAGATTGTCTTTATAGTTGCAACATATCTTTCTGTGGTTTTGTGTGTCTTTGTAGCCATTTTGAGTCTTTTTGTGGTTGCTAACATCTATTTTTAGTCATATTGTGTCCCTTTTGGTTGTTTAGCCCCTTTTGCAAGTCTCTTTGCAGCTGTTTTGCATTTCTTTGTGGTCACTTTCAGTGTCTTCCAAGTCGGTGTGTGTCTCATATTGCAGGTACAGGCCTGGGGCTGTAACCAATAGGTCTGTCCAGTAATCCATCCATTAAGAAGTACAATGTGAACGCTCAGTTTAAAGTCAAGTATCACAAATGCAGTTACTGTAAATTTAAGTATCAACATGTGGAGTCTATCACGAAAGTGCTCCGTCTGTTACAGGCTCGAGTTTGTGTTCATGGTGATGTGTGTCTTTAAGCTGTTGAGATTTAAGTTTTTACTGTTTTTCTCTCATAGAGCATCCCAGTGAAAATATTTTACACGATTGTATTCATACATTCATACACACAACTGGAGTCTCAATAAACATCTTGAATCATGTACACTCTAGTTAGTTTGACAACTGCTGTCTCAAGCCCTCCAGTGAGTCAAACGTGATGTACTCCTGATCGTCTTTAAACACATAAAGCCTCTAAATTCTGATCATCTGGTCAAACATCAAACCATATAATTCAGTTATCCTAAAAAAAACTCAGATAAAAATAGAGTCACCCAATGAGGAATGTGACAAACTTGATTTGCTTCCAAAAGAAGGTGTTTTAGGTTTCAGGAAACATTTGGTCATTATGTCAGCCCTCTTTGTTTGTCCAATTCATTATGATTCTTGAAAAGGCAGGGTTCCATATTTCACAGAGACTAAAACAATCTCTGGTCCTGTAGTGGTTTCAGTTAATCCTCCCCTTTTCTATTTACGGCACACAAACTGGCAAACAAGAGACGGGAGGGAAGATTCATTAACATTTCACCCAGATTGAGAAAAGAAGATCTACAGCACAACAGACATGCTGAATCAATTTAAAATGTCTTTCTAAACTCCATCCAGTCAAAACACTTGTACACATGCAGCCTCCCCATGCTGAACTATATAAAGCTGTGCTGTTTCACCTCTGTCACTGGCAGATATTCCTTCCCTTCCTTTTAGCTGTATATCAGCAGCTGTTAGTACTCTCCACCACATTCATGTTATCATTCAAATGTGGTTCCCTTTTCTGAGGAAACTGACAAATCAGCAATGCCTAAATTACTTTGGTTAAAGATTCAGTGTGTAGGATTTAGGGAGATATATTAGCAGAAGTTCAATAAGTATGTTTTCTCTAGTGTAAAATAATCTGAAAATAAGAACTGTTGTGTTTTTGTTATCTTAGAATGAGCTGTTTTTATCTACATAGGGAGCAGGTCCTCATCCACAGAGTTCATCATGTTGCACCACCATGTTTATATATATCATACACTTAGACTGGTTTATACTTGTAAGTCATAGATAACTGGTTTATAACTAATTTATATTATATACTAAGACAGGTTTTTGTAAGATATATATTTGGTAATTACTATTATATACATATACATAGGTTATTTTTGTGTGACAAAGTTAAAGGGTAATAACAATGGTATATTTCGAAAAGTCTTCAGTATGGGTTTATCTATATAAGGAAGTTGTCGGTTTCATTTTTCTGAATGACTTATGGAGAAGGGGTGGGATTTGTTTGTATGTTTTTTTTTTTTTTACATGTTCAAAATAAATGTCAAATATCAAATGTTTCTACAGTAGCCCGGAATGGACAAACCAAACATTAGCTTTAGATAGGGCCATTAGCATTTTCGCTTTGGCTACGGTAATTAGCAGCCCCTCCAGAGCAAGCAGAGTTGTTAAAACATGATTTTTTTTAGTAAGTAAAACTACACAAGGTCAGTTTCCTCTGAGGATCTCAACTTAGCTGGACTAATGGCCCATCTGCAACAAGCTAAATGGCATTGCAAAACACTGGTTTTTAACATGAAATATTCAGTGTTTTTACTGGTTTAAATCTCCAGATCTATTCGTTTTAGAGAGGAGATAATTGGGCTCCTGATAAAAACCTCCTGAATGCCTGGATCAGAAAACAACAAAATTTATTAACACTGCATACACTCAAAACGAGGCCTGAAAGAAGCGTACGCCACCTCCCACTCAAAAGTTGTGATGTATAAAAACAGACACTATGATCCATGCTTACGAACATTTTGAAGATGGGAAATTGGTGATGCAAATGGTGAGGTGGAAGCCTGATTGCAGAAATACATATTTTTTGGCTTTTGTTCATACATACATTTTTAGTATGGATCCTTTGCATTGTTTTATAAATGAGACCTCTGGCCTGTTTGTTTCAGAGAGGGAGACACCTCTGCGGATAATTTGTCTCTCAGTGAAAACTTCTTGAACAATGAATACTGAAGGTATTCTAACTGGGAGAAGTTTCAGCTGGTTGCAATCTGCAGTCCTCACCACTAAATGCCATTAAATCCTACAAACTGTTCCTTTAAACCAAAACCATCAAAACATTTTAACTTACAAGTTATACAAAAAAAAACAACTTTTTTTTTCTTTTTTGAAAAAGTACCAAAATGGTTAAGCAACATGAGAGAGACTAATTTTAATAATATGGCAAATAAACAGAGGTGCATTCATCGTTTTCATTCACATAGGCACTGCAGTTTGTGTACAATACAGTACATAGAACTCAATCATAAATTACAAGCCATACCAAAAATAAATGGATACCAAGGAGAGCATGAGATGGTAGCCATTGATTTCGGTGTCACATTAGAATTTCAAGCAGGCCGCAATGCTGTCCATGGATCCTGAATTCTGATCAATCCAGTCTGTGATGCTTTTACTCCGCTCTGCATATTTAAATGGATACAAAGACAAAAAGGTAAATGCACGATTTCTGAGTAACAAGGACTTCGATCCGTGTCGTATCTAAAACAGCTTTATCCATCTTCTGTCAGACAGCTTAGAGATGAGTCTTTTTGGTCAGCAGAGGAGCTCCTATGTGTCTGCGTCAATCCTGTGAGCTGCAAACAAGAACAAAGAAGTCAGAAATAACGCTGCTGGCAAGCACATGAAGGTGGCAGGTAATATAGCTCAGTGGATTTTTTAGGAGACATTGTCTGAGTTGAGATAAAATATTCTGAGATATATTGCATCACACACATCTACAAAGGCTTCGGGTTCAAGTAAATTCCCCCCGCTGTCAGTAAGATCTGAAACAGTGGCGGGTTAGACAGTTCAAGAGAGTATATGATCTGCCAAATCATTCAACCTGTGCTCAAGTAGCTAAATATTACATTAAGGAGGGTGAAAAAACTGTGACACCATTCTCATACCTGAGAGTCACTGTGCTGTGCACCACACGGAACTTACATTGCTTTGGTATCCTGAGTGGTTCGGTGTCTCCTGACAGGACTTGATGCATGACTCCGCGGAACTGATACAGCACCTTCAGGCTCTTCTCCTCCCCCACACAGGGGTCATAGAAACCAGGGAGTCCTGACTGGAAAGACAAAACAAGGTCATGCACCAGCAGCAGACTGAAAGAAAAGTGGACAAAGCTCTGACTCTTCTGCTCCGATGCTTAGCCTATACC